GAGAACTCTAGGTTAGCAATTCAACCCGTTTAAAATAAATTAAGAAAAAAAGGTAAAATTTAATGAATTGAGAAGAATATTGTAATCCTAACCTTATTTGATTTGATTTTTATCAAAGTTATTATTACTTTAATTTTCTTTTTAGTTTAAATTTTGGTTAATTAGTTTGAGTTAAATAATTTAGTTATTTGAATTTGAATGTTTGGATAAACCTAAATTATTTTAATTTTAATATTTAGTAAAATTGTATATCAATTCTCTGTGAGATTAATACTCTACTTGCTTATATATTATCTTTCGATTTGCATACTTGTGTAGGTAAAAATTTAATTGACACTATTTTTTATAATGATAACACCATACTCAATATTTATTTTTTTTCGTTTTCCTTTTTTTTTTAACCTAGGAAATGCGTGAATGAAGGATGGATAATGCCAAATTTGTCCTTCTTTATTGAAGTATTATCAACAATCAGAATGACCTTTTAGAGGGTCAACCATCTTAATTTTTGCTTATAACATTATACAGGGTATTCCAAGTAGGACCAAAACTTGTTTGATCTGTGGACTTCTGTTGGGGTTCAATGCTGCTACATGATACAGTCCAAGGTACAAGAAAAGTCCAAATAAATTGCAAAACATTAACAGAGTGTTGCAGTGGTTGATTGAATCTTGATGACTTCAATTTGAGAAGGAGGTTACAATTATTTAATCTCCCTAACTTCGTTGTTTTATTTGGGTCATTGAAGAAGGGAAAAAAAAAAGGACATCACCTTCAGTACTAGAAAAATGGAAATTCTTAATTAAAAATAGCTATGGTCGCTGTTACCTGACCGCTAACAATAGCTTATGCTTAACAAGCAAGCAATCTTAATTTAAATTGCCTGAAGAACATTGAATTTATCAGCAGCAAAAAAAATAATTAAAGGGCCATTGGCCATGTAACCTTGGTTAGAGAAGCTTGAATCTGAGAATTCAAACAGAGAGAGATATCTACAAGATCACTTTTTTCATCCTAAACTAAAGTAGGATTACATAATATTACTAGTTACTTTTGTTTGGTTCAGAGCTGGACCTGGGATCATCTGAAGAGATGTTTTATCTGTGTTGGTATCTTTAATTGATTTATTGTTATATTATACTTAATGTGGCAACGACTTATTCTCTGAAAGTTACATATACTTTCAAAAAATTTTCGGAAAAAAGTAGTATATATAGTTTATCAAATAACGTTTTCAACTTCAATAGGTTGAGAAAAGTATTAAGCAAATAGTGTTTGCAAAAAGATTAAATAAAGCAAAGGAAAACTACACATTTTATCTACTTACATAGGCAATAAAATAAGTGTATATATACATATGCTAAATCAACAATGGACATCCTATCAAATTCATTGGACAAGTAGAAAGAGAATAAAAAATGGGCAAGTCAAAGGCATGACATTCAGGTAAGGCATTCTATGACAAGATTTGAAGGGGCGGAGGGCTTGTAGCAGCTTCTCTGGTAATAGCTTGTCAAGACTATGCAAAAGTTCCAAAGAAACATCAAAAAAACTCTAAAAGATGCATTCCTAAAAGCTAAATAAGTATATTAGCATTTCACCAGCATTTGTTAAATGATCAGACTTGCCTAGGCCTGCTGTATATGCAAGCTTGCAATGGATTTTTCATCACAAATGTTAATTCTTTCTTCTCTGACAAATCAACATCATCTCCATCCTTGGCCTTCCACTCAAAAAACCAAACTAGATTTGCCACAAAAAACCCCAAATGAAGCATGGCCAATCTATGAGCAGGACAAATCCTCCTCCCTGCCCCAAATGGTATCATCTTGATCTCCTTCCAACCTGTTATGTCAACCTCTTCCTCACCACGTAGGAACCTTTCCGGCTTGAACGCCAGGGGATCTTCCCAAATCTTCGGGTCCAATCCCATCTCTTCTATGAAGAAAATGATAATACCCTTTCTAGGCACTAAAAAGTCGTTGAAAATTACATCTTCTCTCACTCCATGGAACAGAAAATGTGCAGGAGGGTGACGCCTTAGACCTTCCAAAATCACTGCTTTTAGGTAAGGCATCCTATGCAAATCATCTTCTTTGACCTCTTCAGCTGCTTCTCCCACAACCCCTTTAATCTCCATGTATAGCTTCTCTTGAACAAGTGGGTACTTAACCAAATTGGCCATAATCCATTGCAACGCTGTGGATGTTGGATCTGTGCCAGCACCAAGAAATTCTGAGCACAAAGTCACAATTTCCCCTTCATCAAGTTTCCTCTTCTCCTCGGGAAGTTGCAAATCCAACAAAGTGTCAACATATGATAAAATGTAATCATCTTCTTCTTTTCTTTCTTTATCCTCTTTTATCTTGCTGATCAAACTCCCTTCCGTCACTTTTTTTCGCGCTCTGATTAATGGGATGAAAACATCCGCTTGATTTTTTTTAATTTGCAAGGACTCCTTCCAGAGCTTATAAAGCAAAATCCTTGTCACCTTTGGCCAGAAATTTAGTGCATTGAACTTATGAATATTCAATAACAAGTCCCTTTGAACAACCTCAACTTTTCTAATCTGGTTTTCATCAAGGTGAGCTCCAAAACACATATGGGCAAACAAGCAAAACATGGCATGTCTAAAATAGTCTACCACAGAGATAGGATCACCTGTATTTCTTGACTTGATCAGCTGCTGCTTGAGGATTTGCAAGACCCTTGTCCGAACTTGAGAGTAGGACTTTATCCGAGAAGGATTAAGAATTTCAGCTGTCAGGTTTCTTCGCAGAATACGCCAGGTAGGGCCATAGGCAGCAGAACCAATACTTGTTTTGCCAACTTTAACTGCCGGTGATCGATCAGCAAAAACAGAACCGTTCTCAACTAAGGCCTGGTGTGCAAGGGAACGGTCAGAAACAAAGATGGCAGGGTAATAGGCGATATGGAGAGTTACCATGGGGCCAAACTTTGTAGTGACACTTCGAAGGATCGGTCCAAGATCGGGGAAGGATTTGTAACTGCGTAGCCATGACAAGTTGCCGATGATGGGAAATTTAGGGGGTCCTGGAGGGAGCTTGGGGCCAGGTTCTTGGGAGGGGAAGACAAGGTTATAGAAGGCTTTAAGGATTGCAGATATGCAAAGAGTGGAGACGATGAGGAACCAAGTTTCCATTATGGCAAAAGGAAAATGAACTTCCAAGAGAATATTAGTACTCGAAAGTTACAAGATCAAAACCTGAATTGGTAAAGCAAAACTAGCTGCTACCTACTGTTATATAAAGAATAATTTTCTAACAGTGCTATCATTAGTGGGTTATGGCTGTTTAATTAACCATTTGAATAACTTACTAATAGGCTTTATTACATAATAATCTGATATGAGACGCATTTGATCTTTTCTTCTCTTTTCTATTTCATTTCTAACATACTAGATTATGGATATGACAGATGGATTGTTTTTCCTTAATTCACAGTTCTTTACTACGTAGTTGATATAAAATTATTTATAATAAAATCCAAGTTGTTATTCCAAGAACAATTCACCAATGATGGTCCTATGTATAAATATCTCGCATTGGTCAATATTAATTTACAACGATGGCATGATTCGCATCACAATGAACGAGATACCGGCCGGCATCAACTTAGATTTTTTTCAATGATTATATATATATGTATATATATATGTTGGACTGCTTATGTTGATAAATACTCATAAAATTTGTTGATAATCTATTGAAAATTATTGATTTTGTTGGATATTTTCAATAATAATAATAAAACTAAAAAGTGTGAGAAACAACCCCATATTGGAAACAAAAAAAATTAAAAGGGAAAGAGCGTCCTTCAAATGAAAAAGAGTGCAAGTACTTAGTAGTTGGACTAAAATGAACTAGAACGCAAATTGAACCATAGCTGCACTTTGCCACGGTTGTAGCCCAGTTTGTGCTATATATCGTACTGAATTCTAGATCAATCAAAAGGTTGAGTGGCATGCATTCCCACGGTTGTATGTAACTTCAGATTTGAATGATTCCACCAACTATTATGTAATGCATGTAATGTGAGTCCCAGTTTGCTATCCACAACTATTTTCCTAAGCAAAATTTTTTGCAGACAATAAACTCCATAACTGCTACAATATTGGTGTGACGGGCACATTCCCGTTCACATAGCACAGCAGTCACTAATAATGCACACAAGCAACATATCCCCGTAACTTTGAACCATCAAAATGCAAGTTTCACAGTAATCAAGACATCTTACCTTTCGGCTTGTACATCTTAGATATGCTGAGTGAAATATCATCAAGATTCAGAACCTCATTGCGATAGTTCTAAATATTATTAATGAAATTAAAGTACGAACCCAGCTTCAAAAAGAGGCAAAAAGTACTATGCAGAATGTGAAAACACCTAAATATAATGACGAATCAGTATAACAAGTGTTACTAAAGTGAGAAGTGGGCATGGTGGGATGGATGAATGACAGAGAAACTAACATATCTGAAAGCAGATATTTTAGGTAGTACATCTAGAGTATAAACAAAGCAAGTGAATTTCGATTATTTGGTCCTTTTCAATATTGTTAACCTGACATGTGAAATATGATAAGGATCAAAAACATTAAAACAGAAAAGGAAGGTCAGATACAGGTGCAGAAGTTAAGAAAAACAAGGCAGCCCGTCACCGAAAAATATACATGGCCTGTACAAGAAAATTTGCAGTGAACGTTTAGCCACATATTCTAGGGGGTGGGAGGTGGCTTACTTACAATTTACTTATGTAGATCTTGTTTGGACATCATTCATTCAACAAACATTAAAGTGACACGAAAATTTAGCTAAAACATCTTCTAGCATCAAAGAACTTACATATGGAGGTAAACACAAGAAGAATAAAGACAAACCTTGCTCTTCAAAAAAAAAAAATAATAAAGACAAACCTTGTCCAGCTGCACTAATGTATATCAAAACAGGCAACTGTTCATACAA